TCTGACTTATAGCGACCCCTCCTTGGGTTTCCGAGGTAGTATCACTATGGAAATAGATTGCCCAACCTCCCTTCCAAGTAGTGGCTGGTGGGTTTGAACTGCCAGCTTTCTGGTTAGGAGTCAAATGCCTTAGGCACTATGCTACCAGAGCACCTAACATCCATGTTGTTGTTGTTGTTGTTGTTTGCCATCGACTCGACACAAACAACAACAACCACATCCATGTAGCCACTTAGAAATACCACCTGAGAAATAGAGTTGAAGCCCACTGGGCACCTCTCCGTTTCTCCAAGAGGTAACCACTGCCCTGAACGAGGGATTTCTTTCCCACACGTGCTGTTGTTTCACATGCTACATTTGTATGCATCTCTCACCAGCATGCTCTTGATTCCTGTATGTGTATCCCCAGTCAATAGCTGGTGATCATTTGTGTTTTTCAGACTTCACATACGTGGCTATCTTAATGTTCATATCCTTCTGGAGCCAGCTTTTCCCCTTCCGCAGTTTTCTGCTGCCATACCCCATTGCCCTCTGGGTCTCAGCAACCCCCCATGGCTTCTAGTCACCTCCCCAGTCCAGCCTTTGCAGCCCAGTTATGTTCAGCAGTCCCAAGCCAGTGAATTAAGGATGGTCCTACCATCGGTTGGTCTCAGCTTCTTGCCCTGTTGTTTTAAACAAGCGAGTCTCAAACCTTAGCACATCAGAATCCCATGAAATCTGTTGCTGTCAATAGCAACTCATAGTGACCCTCTATAGGACAGAGTACACAACTGGCCATAGGGTTTCTAAGGCTGTAACCTTAATGGAAGTATACTGCCAAATCCCTTTCCTAGGGAGCAGCTGGTGGTTTTAAACTACTAACCTTTCAGTTATCAGCCTAGTGCTTAACTACTGCACCACCAGGGGTCCTTGGACCCCCTGAAGGGCTGGTTACAACACAGATTGCTCACCCCACCCCCAGAGTTTCTGATTCAGTGGGTCTTGGGTAGAGCCTGAAAATGTACATTTCTAACAAGTTCCCAGGCAATGCTGATTGTCACTTTTGAAGACTAGGCTTTGAGAACCACTACTGCAAAGTCTGGGCCCAGGCTCTTCAGCACCATCTGGCCTGCAGGCAAGCTGGATCATCCAGAATAATTCCTTCAAACATGCCCTATAGCAGCCCTGTCCTATACACAGAAACATGAACCACAGGTATAATTTAACATTTTCTAGCAACCACATTAAGGTGCTCTGGTGGTGTAGTGGTTAACACACACAGCAGTTAACCAAAAGGTCATTGGTTCAAATCTACCAGCAGCTCCATGGGAGAAAGGTCAGGCAATCTGCTGCTATAAAGATTTACAGCCTTGTACACCCTATGGGGCAGTTCCGCTTTGTCCTGTAGGGTTGCTATGAGTCAGAATCGGCTCAGTGGCAGTGGGTTTGGTTTGAGTAGGCATGATAAAGGAAAAAGAGACTAGTGAAATCAGTATTATATTTTAACTCATGTTATTTCAACATGTAATCAGTATAAAATTAGTAGTGAAATTTAACACTTTTCATCACACAGCACCTCTCAAATGGAACTAGACACATTTCAAGTGCTCAGTAGCCACATGGGCTAATGACTAATGCCGTGGACAGCACAGACCTAAAGGCTTGACCTCCATTTCTCTCCTTATGAAGATTTTTTAACTTGACATTGTAATTTATTTGTGGCTGCAATAAAATAATTTAAAGAGACTTACCAAAGGGTAGAAAGTGGACCAAAACAAAGAGAGGTAAAAGACAAATTTGAATCAGGATTATTTATCTAAACAAAAACTGCTCATATTTCAGCTTTTTTGTTTAAAACAAACTTTTATTTTGAACTTGAACAAATGCTGCCAAATAGATCTTTAAAATATAAGAATCATTTCACTGGGTATCACTTTTAGGGTGATGAACTTTGGAATAAAATCAATGTTGATAAAATTCCTTTGGGCTTCAGGAAAATGAAAAAACTTAAAACCAGTGAAGAATGAATTCTTGCTTCTTCCTCCTTCCTTTTATTCCTCTCCACTGCAGGATGAAATGAAAGAAAAGCAGTAATTATATAACATTAACAAGCACCTGTGACTTTAAATATAAGAAAACAGCCATAGGCATGTCTGGTGCACTGTTGTGCTATATCTCACCAGGGAGAGAGGAGCACCTTTTCCTCTTGTAACTTGTACCCTCCGATAACAGATGGCTTCAGTCATCTGATCATACACCAACCTCATCTCTCCCTTGCCCAACACCTTAAATGCTTGATTGTTTGTTTTCCTGAGACACCATTCTGAGATATAAATAAACTTCTCCATAAAAACCTGTGCTGGTTCCACTAATGACACTCTCTTACCCTCCCAGACCCTCAGTTTCCACAGCTATCACATGGGAAAGAGGCTCTTATTATGAAACACACAGCTATGAAAGTGCAAAATATAAAAAATGTTAATCATTTAAATATATTCAAAGACAAGATATATCTTAAGACTTAATTACTGATTCAGTGATAATAATTGTATTATGACTAAGTTTCTTTCCTTTTGACTATCATATAAAACATGAAAATCTAAAACTGAAAGATGTTTGGATCATAACAAATTATGGATAACACTGTGAAGAATGGGGATTCCAGAACACTTAATTGTGCTCATGTGGAACCTGTACATAGACCAAGAGGCAGTTGTTAAACCAGATCATAGGGATCCTGTGTGGTTTAAAATTTGGCAAGGTGTGCATCAGGGTTGTATCCTTTCACCATACTTGTTCAATCTGTATGCTGATCATATAATCCAAGAAGCTGAACTATATGAAGAGCAACACAGTGTTAGGACTGGAAGAATCATCAATAACCTGGAATATGGAGATAGTGCAACCTTGCTTATTGAAAGCAAATAGGACTTGAAGCACTTACTGATGAAGATCAAAGACTATAGCCTTCAGTATGGATTATACTCAATTTAAAGCCTTCAGTATGGATTATACTCAACATAAAGAAAACAAAAGTCCTCACAATTGGACCAATAAACAGCATCATGAGAAACAGAGGAAAGATTAGAGATTAAAAAGAAAAGATTAAAGATCTCATTTTACTTGGATCCACAGTCAACGTCCATGGCAGTAACAGTCAATTAAGCAAACAATGTATTGCACTGGGCAAATGTGCTACAAAAGGTCTCTGTAAAGTGTCTCTTTAAAGATGTTACTTTGAAGACTAAGGTGTGTCATGATATTTTCAATCACTTCATGTACATGTGAAAGCTGTAGAATGATTTAAGGAAGACTGAAGAAGAATTGATGCATGTGAACTGTGGTGGTGACAAAGAATATTGAAAATCCCATGAATTGCCAGAAGAATGAACAGCTCTGTCTTGGAGGAGGTACAGCTGGAACGCTCCTTAGAATTGAGGATGGCAAGACTTTGTCTCATGTACCTTGGGAGGGACCAGTCCCTGGAGAAGGACATCATGTTTGGTAAAGTACAGGGTCAGTGAAAAAGAGTCCCTCAACAAGATGGATTGACACAGTGGCTGCAATAATAGGCTCAAACATAGCAATGATTGTGAGGAAGGTACAGGACCACACAGTGTTTCGTTCTGTTGTACACAGGGTTGCTGAGTCAGAACTGACTTGACAGCATCTTACAACAACAACAACAACAACAACAATCATTAAATATGGCCCTACTTGAAATTCTTAATGTTTTGCTATGTCACATTTTGAAAGAGATTGTCTCCTAGCTGGTATGTTGTTGTTATATGCTGTCGAGTCTGACCTGACTCATAGCGACCCCTCCTTGGGTTTCCAAGGCAGTATCACTACAGAAGTAGATTGCCCCATCTTCCTTCCGAGGAGTGGCTGGTGGGTTTGAACCGCCAGCCTTCTGGTTGGCAGTCAAGTGCCTTGGGCACTATGCTACCAGAGCTCCTCCTAGCTGCATTTTATATTATCAGGTACACAAGGATTCTACTAACTATTCTAAGTAAGTTGAACTGAATTTTAAAACTTATTTAAAACAAACTTTCTTATTAATTACTGGCAGAATTAAAAAAGGAAAATAAAGTTCTCAGTAACCAGTAAATAAATACCAGGAATGGTTGAGTGAAGTTCAAGGCTACCTGGATTCAAAGCTACCATAGATACCTGGATTTTCCAGGGCTTCCCACTGCTGGGTCCAGATCCTTTTGGGGTTCTTGTTCTTCACCGTCCTCCTTTTCCCTCTTGGCTTGTTTCTCTTCCTCACCTCCTGCTTTTGGGGCCTCTTCACCAGAGTTGCCATGCTGATTCCCAGTCACTTCTTTAGGGAAGAAGAATACAGTTTTGGGGGCCAGATATTCATGGAAAAAATATCACAATTCAGAACCAGCAGTGACATCCAGTACTCTACTCTCGGGAGAACGAAGATAACTAGAAAGAGGAGCTGGGCACTTTCCTACCGGTCGACACAGCACTTTCACGGCCCTCACACTTTGGCCTCACTCACCTTGTTTTTAAAAGCCATCCCCCAACGCTGAGGTGTGCCACCCTGTTTCCTCCTCTCCCCTCCTTACTTTCCTGCCACTTCCTCCCAAGCTCCCTCCTGAGCACCTGCCCTCCACTGCCATTCATCTGGGAAATGGCACCAGAGAAGCTCAGATCTCTTGTCAGCCGGTGGAGGGCGGTTTGTTTCCTGGGACTTTATGTAAAGGTGGTTACAGGTTTGGGCTTCTACTTGAGTACTTGGGACCCGACGCGGGGTGAGGTGCCACCCACCCTTCCCCACCCGAGGCCCGCGCTGCCAGGTGGGTCTCAGGCCCCTGTGCTCTCAGCCCCCTCCTGGGCTTCCCGATCGGATCACAGCTCAGCCGCCCCTCTGCCCATCCTCACCCTGCAGGGCTGCGGCCTGGTCCCGGGGCTCCGGGGCTGCGGCCTCTTTGGGCTCCAAAACAGCAGCCTGGGCCAGTGGCTCCATTGGCTCCCCAGCTGCCTCAACATTCCCGGCCAAGCCTTCGCTATCGTCCCCCTCAGCAGGCGGAGTCAGCGCTGGCAGCGACCTTGAGCCGTCGAGCGGACTTGTACACAGGAGCACGTGGCCGCTGTGGGACCGGATCAGGATGTGATCATTATGGTAGATGCGCTGCAGCATACTGTAGATCATATCCAGGAACATGAAGCGGAAGCCCGCCAGTGGAAAACGTTCCGTGTCGATCACCAGGCGCCTAGCGCCCTCACGGTCTTCCTCCTGCTCAGAGGCCGACTCGATGGAGGCCGACTCAATGTCCGAGTCGTCCTCGCTACTTTGGCTCCCCTGGGCGATGGCCAGCGCCCTCTCGGGCTCGCCCGCCTCCTGCGCAGCCTGAGGGGCCCCTGCCACGGGGCCCTCCACCGGCCCAGGGTCACCGGTCACCCCACTTCCTGCTCCTGCCGCTCCCACCGGACCATCCGGGGCACCTGGGGCCGGGTCTCGCTCATCAGTGGCGGACATGGCACCAGGCAGTACCTCAATCGGATGGTGATGGGCTGTGGCGACGATGACAGTGAGGACGGCGGCTACTGAGGTGGGTGTCCCTCAGGAAAGGTCGTCGACAGTGGTGCTGAGGAGAGACAGAAGGGGTGATGGAGGAGGCGGCCCCTGAGGGGACAAGCAGGCCCTCAGTGACAAAGTGAAAGGCAGGGGTCTGACCACCCAGACTGCCGTTGAGCTGGCGGTTGGCAAGCCAAGAAGGAGGCTGCCGGTAAAGTGACGTAGGGTGGCGTCAGAATGGGTCAACAAATCCCACTCCTTGTTGAGAGCTCTATGTTCATTTGCTGAGACTCAAGGATTGACATGCCTTTCACCCAATGAACGATGAGGACTCTTATCTACAATGAATGATCAAGACTCTTACCAGAATCCTTGAGGCCCTGGGGTCTTGAGTTACCCTTTAGGCCGGACACAAGTCCTGGCTTTTTAATTTTACAACTGTCAGCAAAACTATAGTGGCACCTTGAGGGCATGTAAATTGTGAGGAGGTCCCTAATTTCCACCTGGTAGTGGCTCATGCCAGTAAGGACAGTCATAAAAAAGTTCTATAGCTTTGTTCTCAGCAGTAGTAAAAACCTCCTTGAAGATAGAAACATTTGGACTATTTAACGTGACTAACCCACTAGTGGAAGGAAGACTGGGCAACCTACTTCGGTAAAGATTTACTGACTCAAAAACCAGAATGGGGTAGCTATGAGTCGGAATTGAGGTGATGGCAGTGAATTTATTGTTTTTAAAACTACTTTGAAAACAATGCATAAAGTTAAAATGGATGTCGTGAGAATTAAGTGTTGAAGGAGTAAATAACAAAAGCTAGAAGATGTTTAAAGAACCCTGTCAAATTGACTTCAAACCTCCATAGAATGATAAAGACATACTTATTTTAAAGGACCAGGTCATCTCATAAGAGCTAAGCATAATAAGACATTAAAAAGGCAGGTTTTCTAGGATGTTTCTGAGGCAACAGTCCAAGACTTTTTTTGATTTCAAAATACACTTTGTCAAGACCACAACTGGAAATAAACTCGAAAATTATGGAGAAATCAACTGCTACTTTATAAAAAAAATGTTTTGTAACCCTAAAATAGTTTTTGAAAAAATATAGCAAATGACTTATAATTCATATGTTACATTTAGGAAAAACAGTACTGATAAATCCCATTAAAATGAGTAGAATTTTTTGTTTCTTTTTATCAACCAAATAAAAATTCAGTGTTTTCATTTTTCCTCTGGTCCTCCTCAAGAAGACAGTATGATGTTGCCATAAATCATTGGTTTAATCTGGAAGGCAGCATTGAAAAACTCTAACTCAAAATCTTTATCTTAAAGAGCAAACCTGAGGCAGAACCATAATCTGAGGTCTGGAGTTGGTTTTAATGTTTGCCCCTTAAGGTGATTTGGGGAGGTCTGGTAGCATAGTGCCTAAGGCATTTGACTGCTAACCAGAAGGCTGACGGTTCAAACCCACCAGTCACTCCTCGGAAGGAAGATAGGGCAATCTACTTCAGTAGAGATACCGCCTGCGAGACCCAAGGAGGGGTCTCTGTGTGTCGAATTGACTCCAAGGCAGTGAGTTTGGTTTTAGGTTTAAGGTGATTTGGGAAAGTTATTTATCACTTACAGGGCTCGATTTCATCATTTGTAAGGTTAGGGTAATGATTATCTAGCTACTTCACAAGGTTTGAAAAGGATCTCTGGTGAGGCATTTAGCTGTTTACCAGAAGGTCAGTGGTTCAAACTCACCAGCTGCTCTGTGAAAGAAAGATGAAGCAGTCTGCTTCTCTAAAGATTTGCAGTCTTAGAACTCAATGGGGATCACTGTGAGTCGAAATCCATTTGGTAGGTTGCTCTGCAAATTAAGTAAGATAATGGGGGTGAAAACCTTTTTCATACTGTTAAATGCTATACACATATAAAGTATTATGTCAATAATAATTTTCCCTCTTATTGAATTATTGGATAGAAGGTATTGAGTAGTCTCTCAGGGTCTCATAGTAACCCCTCTAATTTGGTTCTGGAGGAATTACTTATTTCAAAATACATCCTTTCTGGCTGCATTCATGCCCTGCTATTGGTCAAGATTTGAAATAGGTAGATGGAATGAGATAGGATGATATTTGGGATATTAACCATTCGTTGCAGATATTTTTCCTAGTTTTATTTTTGCCATTCAAGTTGGTTAATGTTTTTGAGTATATAGGTTTTCATTTTTATGTGCAAAATCTATCAATATTTTCTTTTTCATAGTTTTAACTTCATTGTAAGTTTGCAAATATTTATCCAGAGAGAAATTTTATTTGATATTTTCTTCTTTTTTGGACCTCTTCTGAATGTTTACATTTAACTTCTTAAATATATTCTTTTCTAAGTCATTTTGGTCATGTTACATAGTCCAAATTTGTCTCCCTGTGTATGGGAGGTTTTTGCTCCTGCTGAAGACTGAGCTATTCAACTTTTTAATGACTCTGACCTTACTGGCATGAGCTATCACAAGGTGGAAATTCAGGACCTCCTCATTTACTTTGCCTATGTTTGTGGGAATGCCACTTGTGTTGTTAAATATATGTTTATATCCCAAAGTATATAGTATTGTTTGCATGTTTTAAAACTTTATATAAATGGCCTCATAGTGTCTATATTCTTCAGCAACTAGTTTTGTGTCTTACACATTTCGCTACTACCACCACTCAGTCTTTTATCTCAGAGAAGGGTGTGTCTCACGTCCCTGTAAGTTTTAGTCTCCTCCTCACCCAAATCCTTGCTGTTTTGGTCAGTTTACTTGCAACACTTTCAAGCCAGTGAATTGATGTAGGTCCTACCTTAGATGAAGCTCATCTTCTTTCCCTGTTGTCTTAGTAAGTCAAAATCAGGCCTGGGTTCAGTGGTACCATATAGCCTCCTGACAGGCCTAGGTCATCACGATGGGGACCACACTGAGAATGCTGTTCGAGAGTGTCTTTTTACCCTTGATATTTTAGGCTTCAACAACATAGTTTGATACAGGCTTCCTAAAGGGTGGAAAATATACCATTTGTAGAAGATAAGGTGATATAAAAACTCCTTTGTTAACAGTTTCAATATGCTGCATGAAAAATTATAAGATGAAGACCAGACTTTGTTATTATCCTAGTGACTAACCACCTTACTATGACTAACCAGTGACCAACCAGTGGCCATCAAGGTGATTCCGATTCATGGTGACCCCATGTGTGTCAGAGTAGAACTGTTCAAAGGATTTTCAATGGCTGATTTTTTAGAAGTAGATTACTGACCCTTTCTTCTGAGACATGTCTGGGTGGATTTGAAACTCCGACCTTTTGGTTAGTAACTGAGTGCATTAATTGTTTGCATCCTAAGTCCCTTTTAAAAGTAAAAAATCCTCAAACAAGCTAATAGTTACCAAATATGGTCCTACTGGACACCCTTAACTCATGTACACATGGTTAGGTTAGAAGGACATTGTTTAAAATTCAAAAACATAAAAAGGACAAGGATTCCTTGTGGAATAGAGACTGGTGAAACGCTGAGACTATGGCCCCTAGTCATCCTTTGGGCCTGGAATTGTACTCACCACTGGGGCTTAACTCTCAGTCAAACACAATGGACAGGCCTAATAGCAAAACCACTACACCAGGGAGATGTACTCCTTAGAAAAGTCAAGCACAGGAGATCATAAGGGCAGCATTTGCACAAGGAGATAGCTCAGAGGGCAGGGATGCATAGGAAAGAAGGACACAGGGAAGAGGTAACTACAGGGAGGAAGTGGTTAGATTATGGGGATTGCAATCAATATCACGAAACTAAATGTGTATGAACTATTGCATGTAAAATGAACCTGAAAAATTTCACCCAAATCACAATAAAATGCTTTAAAAAAGTGCATTGTTCACTAGTTAGTACAAGAGACTACATTTCTACTACAAAGTAATGAAGGTGCAGGTCACATAAGCTGGCTTGAAAACTACCTCAGTTGGTTTCTCAGAAGGATTCTAAACAACTCTTGGTCTCTGTCATGTATTCTGACACTTTATAGCTGTAGTCTTTTAAGTACGACAAAAGTATTTCACAAGAACCAAACTATGAGAGTATATAGGATGTTGTGGATTCCACTGTATCTGGCATTCAAGTGCCCATTGAAGTTCTCAGGAGAAAGCACAGGTTTAAAAACCCTTACAAAACTTATTTAGCTACCAATAAAATCCCAAAACATGAGCCTGTAAGCAACTCACAGTTCTGTTTAGAATATTATTCAACGATACATAAAGTTCTCCTTCCGCTTCTGCAACATTATCATCTTCCTTATCCATTTCTTTCATAACTAGCACTTGGAAAGTTTTAGTCATTGTCTGTCATCAAATGTTTCTCTAAACTCAAAAACTCACTGCCATAGAGTTGATTCTGATTCATAGGGAGAACTCTCCCATAGGGTTTCCAAGGCTGTAAATCTTTACAGAAGCAGACTGCTTCATCTTTCTCCTGGAGAGCCACTGTTGGGTTTGAACTGCTGACCTTTTCTTTAGCAGCCCTATGCTTTAACCACAATGTGACTGGAGCTCCTTAATGTTTCTTCAGGGAAGTATAATTCTGATTCCAGGATTATATGATCGTGGAAAAGACATTCCAATTTAAAATATTCATCAATTTCAGCTCTAGCACTCTCACATAGTATTCCAAACTCAGACATTTCAGAATTACAAACTTAATTAAAAATGGTCATTGGAAGTTGTTCTGTACAGTGTTCTAGAAATTCCACTTCTCTTGCTGTTTTGCTACTTAACAGTTCAATGAGTGACATTTTTCTTCTTCCATGTTGGTACCCCATACAGTCTGTAATCTCAAGTCACTGAGAAATAGGACTCAGAATCACCTGGGCGTAATCCAAATATATATGTTTTAGACAACACCTCATTTGAGAAATATTTATTGGGTTCAAGGAGAAATTCTGCTTCTAAACTCTTAGG